TTTGGATCACTTGTTGTTCCCTTGTCCCTTGGTTTGTTAACACCACTACCTTTCCCCCGACCTTCCCCTCTCCCATGTCCCCCCAGAACTGTTGGTCCTGTTGTTTTCTCCTCCAGATTGTTCATCCAGCCTATTTTATTTAGACAGACTACAGGTGTCATTTCAATGAATTTCTGAGAAACCCACTGCTTCTTCCATCGCTCAGCAAGACGCTGTTGTTACTGTGTTTTCATTTGATGGCTCTGTTTTGGTTTGGGTGCTGCGCCCTCCACTCCTGTCACCTGCCCAGACGATGACGTCTACATGCCCAGTGAGATCCTGCTCCGGGAGTACATCCTGATGGACTACGGCTTTGTTTACAAGGGCCACGAGAGATTCATCACCGCGTGGCCTTGGAACTATGGGCAGGTAATAGTGTCGCCCGGGGTGGGGTCTGGTGGGGGTGGGGGTGTCCGACCACTCTCTGAGGTTACTTCTTAGACAACTCTGCCAGCTCATGAAGCGCTGCTAGCCAAAGTCAGGGGGTGAGATGTGGGGCCGATGCCCCATCCAGGGAGAAGGAGGAGGAAGGAAGGAGAGGAGTCTTTACTTTTAACTTTTAATGATTTTGCTCTGGAAATCTGAAAACATAATGAAAGTAGGAAATAGAAACAAAGAAACACAGGAGCCAGTTGCCATCACATGGCTCTGCCTTGTGGTGACCCCTGTGAAGAAGACCCCTGTGAAACCAATAGGTTTCAAAGCCTTTCACGGCTGGCTTTTCTCCCAAGGAACCTCTGGGTGGGTGGGCTTCAGCTGTCAAACTTTCAGGGTGTCGCCAAGCCGTTTGCTGTCCAGGAACCCCAATCAAAGCAGACAGGCCCTATGCACCCATCTCTTTGCTTTAAGATCCCCCAAACTAACCCCACTGCTGACATAAGCCCTCTGTGGCCATAAATCGGTATGGGAGCAGAAAGCCTCGTTTTTCTAGCCTCAGAGAGGATGATGGGTCCATACTGTGAACCTTGCAGTTAACAGCCCAAGAAGGAGGAAGCCACTACACCACCAGGGCTCCTGGTGATTGGTTTATTGTGCCTCTTGTTTCCATCGTACCTGCAGTTTACAATCTACAGCCTGTGGGGCAATTCTGGCTCTCTGTCTGGTTTTGTATGACTCACAAGCCAAACATTGTCTGTGTATTTTAAAAGTGTTGAAAAAGAATGTAAAACATTATCTTCCATGGCATGTAAAAATGATGTCAGATTAAACTGTCAGCGTCCGTGCATGATGCTTCATGGAAACGCAGCACTGCTCCCTCCTTTCTGCCTTGCATGTGGCTGCTTCTGGGCTACCAAGGCAGAGGGGGCCAGTGTGGCAGAGACCACATGGGCCGCAGCACCTCAACGACTCATGATCTAGTCTCTGCCATCGTTCCCTGCCCCTCACCCCTGGGATTTTCTAAAAGCAAATTGTGTATCCCAGGCCATTTAACTCAGCAGTACTTCAGAATACAGCTCAAGAAGATGATTCCTTCTGCCTAACCACAATATAAGATCATAACTTGAAAAAAAAGAGTGTCAAATGTGTATACACTCTGAACC